CAGTGTTTGCCACCGCCGCCTGTGGGCTGCCTAGTGCATGCTCCAAGCGAGCAGCAGCAGCCAACACTGCCTGGCATGGCACGCAGGGGGGGCCACAGCTGCTGCCACTGTGCACAGCCCTGATGGTTGAGCCCAGAGCCAGGTTACAAGCTGGTGCTGAGCATGGGGGAAAAGCGGCCCCTCACTCGCCCTGTGGCCAGTGCCCCATGCAGCAGCTGCTTGCAGCCTGCATGGTGCTGTCTATGCCTGCTCAGGACAACCCCATGTGGGCTGCGAGTGGCTGCAGCAGGGAGCACCGATCATGGGGGTGGGCGAGGGGCCACTTTTCCCCATGCTCAGCACCAGCTTCATCCCTGCCAGTGAGCAGGGGCTTGGGGCTGTGCACTGCCCCCTGTCTGTACTGTGGGGCTGGGGGGCACTGGGAATGAGCAGGTGTGTGAGCCAGCGGGAGCATGGGGCCCACACTGGTGCCCGGGGCCAGTGCCAGCGGGGCCCAGAGCAGGGTGGCAGAAGCGCAGGGTCCCAGCCGGCAGGGGCTCTATGAAGCTGGGCCAGCTCCCCCCTCTCCCTGCTGGTGCAGGCCAGCCTGGCTCCACAGACCCCTGCCAGCCTGTGCCCCACTTTGGGCCCCACCAGTGCTGGCCCTGGAACATGGGATCAAAGACATTAGGACATTGGTCCCAAGATGGTGACCAGGGGGCAGGGCTACCCATGAGACCCTCAACAGCCTGCCAAAACTGGGTAAGCGGCCCTCCGCCCGAAATAATTGCCCACCCCTGGGATATAGACACAGCTTTAAATATTTTTTCTACATACCTCAAGGTACCAGGTGGCTCAGGAATGCTGCGAAGTTGGGGTAGATGGAGCATCCACACAGGAGCACGGGGGACTCCCCAGCATGCTCAGCAGCAGACCCGGAAGTGGACCAGAAGCACTTCCGGTCCACTTCTAGTTCTGCCGGGGAGCACACAGGGCCCCCCCACCGCGTCCCCTCGGCTCGGTGACTGGTGCCTCCTGGATCTGAGGGGCACCCAGGGTCCCCCCATGGCTGATCACTGAGCCAGGGGAGTGCAGGGGGGCCCCCGTGCACTTGGCGGCAGACTTGGAACTGGCCTGGAAATACTTCTGGTCTACTTCTGGGTTCATGCTCCTGTGGGATGCTCCATCCACCTCAGTAGTGCAGCATTCACACACCACACCTGGTACCTCAAGGTATATAGAAAAAACATTTAAAGCTGTGTCTATGGCCGAATCACCGATCCTCTGATTCAGCATCGAATCTTCAGATTCGAATTCAGCCGAATCAAAGCAGGGACAGTGATCCGAATCAACGAATCGAATCACTGCCCCCAATTGAGGCCGAATCTGAATCCAAATCAAATACAGCCCATTTTGCACACCCCTAGTGCCCACTGAGTTGCTATCTTTCCACCATAAGTGAAGAAAAAAAATCTGCATCCCCTTAGACCAAAAAATCAGTGGGCTAATTTTAGGCTTCAGGTACAGTTCCTTCTCCAGGATGTACATGCTGTATCTCTCTGATATTAGACTCTCCTATTTATGTAGCTAAGTAGGAATTAATCTGCCTTATTTTTAGTATCCAAGATTAAAAATAACAGGTAAGCTCCTTTCAATTCAATTTTTCTGTCCCAGTTAAATTGAAGGAGAGCCATTGAATTCTGTACATTGTCCTAGAAAGTCATGACAAGGAATGTACATTATGCTAAATTCTTTTTTTGACACATCCTTTTTGTCAGTTAAATTATTAAATTAGATGTCAATGCCTTGACCTTTTTAAATTCTGACTAGTTGGCCATTTTAGTCATTCCCCTTTGCTGACACAGTAACCAGTTTTGAAGGGTTTGAGAGAGAGAAAGGAACCAACAACATAGATTATGCTGAAAAGGTCAATATAATTTAACATTATTATATTTCTTACTCATGGCTTGAATTGAAGTAAGAATGGGAAATTTTTCTAATGAACCAATTCTTGTTTCAATTGTCAATGTTTAATATGACCAGCACTCCCTGATCAGTGTTTAAACCAATGATGTTAATGACAGGAACTAAGTTCTTTGCTCTGTTTCAGGCCTAGTAGATCTTTTTAGAAACTGCCTGCATATATTTTGGACATTTGAATTTTAGAGGTTCTTGTGCCATTTCGCTGATTTACTAGAGGTGCATGAAGAAGAATATTTTAGCCACTAGCAAAATTGGAAAAGAAAACCTGTACTGTATTACCCTGAGGATTTAATTCAGACAAATGGAAGTTTTCACAGAATCAAAATATTTTTTCAACAAGGAATGGAATATTAAAAATTCTGGAAGACAGACAGTCTTGTGGACTTGGATTCAGGTGATCCAGACTCAGCTCCTGCCTCTGCCAGCTTTTATGTCTACTTGGCCAAGCCATAACCTTTTGGTGCCTCAGTTCTACATCTGATGACAGTAATGATCCCTTTCTCTCATCTGTTATTTGCTTTTGTGTTGGCAAGAAGTTCTTCAAAGCAGGAATTGTCTCTTGCCATATATTTGTACAGTGTTCAGTACAGAGCTTAATCACAGTTTAGACTATCAGTGTTACTGTCATGCAAATGAGTAAGAAAAGAATCTTAGAAATGCAGTGCCTATATAAAATAATATTTTTAATTAAATGACTAGTCTTTTCGCTCATAAACTTCAAAGATCCAAAAGGAATGACATCAATCTATATTTATTTTTTAATCTTCATTCTGCTATTAATTGCAACATACTCCAACAGCTTCATTGGCAAAAGTGCAGGTATTTGTCTGAAAACATGAATCTTATAAACAGACAAAACATCCATCTCTAGATTTAATACTGAAATTATTTGTACATATGGATATGATTTTTTGTCTGAAATAGATGCAATGAAAGGCTTTAAAAAGGAAATGCAGCTGAACTGTAAGCATGCAACACACACTATAACAAATATCAGAAGTTAAAGAGAATATCAATAATTACCATAAAATGCAGTTATTGCTAGGAGTGGCTCAAGAAAAGTAAAGAAAAATGAACAGATTAATTTTTTGTTTCAATGCAGGTATTCGTGAGTTACTAAATTATTTAATGGCTTTCTCTGAGCTATGACTGTGCATGAGCAAGACAGCTGCCATCACAATACTGGTGTAACGTCCACCTCCTGTGTGTTTCTTTGATCTATAGCATAGCTGTCAGTCAGACGGAAACGCCATTTATTTTCATGGAACTGAAGGCAGTGAATTCAATTTTGCTACAACCCGAGATGTAGATCTTTCCACTGAAGATGCCCAGGAGCAGTGGGCAGAAGAGTTTGAGAGTCAGCCTAAAGGGTGAGTGCTTGTTATGTACAATGATATAAGTATGCGTGCAAGATTACTCCAGGGGGATAAGACAACTTCAGCTGAGATTTCCATTTGCTCTTTGCAACATATGTATGGTGTGTCTGTTACTAAAATAAGAAGCAGTAAACAAAGGTTAGTAATTTATAGGTTTTAGTCATAAGCAAGTCAAGAGGGTCAGTAGGTCCAGTCTGGCTCTGGATTTTTGCTTCCAAAAATCTAAATGACAGTCCTTCATGTGAGCTACATAATGAAAGTTTAGAAAATATTGGCATTGGACTGTTTTCCATTCTGCTACACACACACACACACACACACACACACACACATATTGTTAAAATTATACAGCTGGACGCAATCAAGATCTTACACAAATTCAACCTTTCCCTTGAATAAAATGTAATCTTGTTACTGTAATGCTGGACAAAAAGTTCTCTGTCCTAAGCCAAACTCCAGCTGTTGCACAACAAGATATTCTAGAGGAGGACAGAAGATCATCTGCACAGGAAGGAATCAGAGGCATATTATTGCTGCTCTGGTGACTCCTGTACCACCCCTTCTTTGGGTTGCTAGCACAGGGGCCAAAGCCAAGCCATATTTTTGCCCTAATAATCCTAGACAGTTATAACTGTCCTTTGTACCTGTTGGTGGCTGGTACAGGTTAGAGCTCCTCAGATGCAAAGAGACCATCCTGGTGCAGAGCTGTCCCTATACTAGAGGAAAGGAAAGGTTCTTTTGCACCTCCTCATCAGGTGCATTGATTGTCCTATTGCTAGAGCTCTGGATCTGGCCCATGATATGTTCTTTAAGTATATACATTAGATAACACATTGTGTGTGTGTGTGTGTGTGTGTGTGTGTGTATGTGCGCGCATGTGCACATATACACACCATATATATCATATATAAGGGTGTGAACATCCAGCAGTACCCACAGGGCCTAATCCAATATCCATGGAAGTCAAGAAGTCAATTTGAGTCTTTTCATTGACTTCAGTGGCTTTGGATCAAGCCCTAGATTCTCTGAAGGTTGTAGAGTAGTGATTACTGGTTGAAGGTTTAGACACTTGACATATTCAGAGAGTTTTCAGTTTAACAGTGACAAATTTATACAAGTATATTCAACTAAGTTTATTGAATAAGAGCCCTATGATCAAAATCTTCAAAAGGAGGGGATCTAAATTTAAGAACCCAAATCCATTTTTGGCACAAATAAATGGCTGAATTCTGAGAAGTGCTTAACCTCTCATTGATATTCCATGGCCCATTGCTCAGTCATTGAATATCATACCATATATTTGTGGCAAATGGCTATAAGATGGTTTCAGGTGCCTGACTTCAGATTCTTTTCTTGGAATATTTTGACCTATGCATACAAATGTATTGAACATTTACATAGAAGTATTTGATATATGCATGCACATCGTGGATTTCTATATGTAACATTAGAACATGCAATTGTTTTCATTCCTCAGTATGAAAATAGATCCCAAAATATCTCCATGCATCAAACTACAGCCCCTTGTTTCAGATTTCCTTTCTACTACTTTTAGTGAACCTGCACTACACATTGGGTATCTAGACATGTGCAGCAAACCTGCCCTGATGCTCTGTAATTACAGTGCATCAGAGCAGACTTGATTAATCGAGCCTGCTGGAATGTGGTAATTAGCACACTCCAGCAGACTTCAGAGTTATGTGTATCAGTATCTCTGCACTGCAAAATGGCTGTATGGGTGCTTTAATTAAATCTTGTTCAATGAATTTCAGTTAAAGTGCCCCTGCTGCCATTTTTTCAGTGCGGAGACGCTGATACACGTGACACTTCAGGCACTTTAACTACAGTGGCTCAGAGCCACTCCAATTAAAGCGCCTCCCTCCCTGCCCCCCCCTCCCAGAGCACATGTATAAATACCCATGGAGACCAAAGCCCTGAGGTAATTGGGGAAATGTGTGACCTGAAGGAAGCACAAGAAGGAGAGGCAACAGGGGAGGTCTTTTCATCCTTTCTGGAAAAGTAGGTCTATCACCTTGTTACCTCAGGTGTCTGTACACAAATGCACAGAGCCTGGAAAACAAGCAGGAAGAATTGGAAGTCCTCGTACAGTCACAGAACCGACATGTTTGGAATAACAGAGACTTGGTGGGGGAGCTCGCACGACTGGATCACTGTCATGCATGGCTATAAAGTGCTCAGGAAGGACAAGCAGGGGAGAAGAGGAGGAGTTACACTTCATGTTAAAGAGCAATATGATTGCTCAGAGCTCCAGTATGAAACTGGAGATAAGCCTGTTGAAAGTCTCTGGGTTAAGGTCAGAGGGAGGAGGAACAAGGGTGATGTCATGGTGGGGGTCTGCTATAGACCACCAGACCAGGAGGATGATGTGGATGAGACTTTCTTTAGACAACTAGTGGAAGTTTCCTAATCACAGTTCCTGGTTCTTATGGGGGACTTCAGTCACCCTGACATACAGCAGTGCACAGGCAATCCAGGAAGTCTTGGAGAGTATTGGGGGCAACTTCCTGGTACAAGTGTTGCAGAGGCCATCTAGGGGCTGTGCTGTTCTTAACCTGCTGCTCACAAACAAGAAAAATTGGTGGGAAACATAGAAGTGGATGGCAACCTGGGCAGCAGCAACCACAAGATAATTGAGTTCTGGATCCTGAGGAAAGAAAGGAAGGAGAGAAGCAGACCCTGGATTTCAGAAAAGGAGATTTTGACTCCCTCAGGGAACTGATGGGAAGGATCCCCTGGGAGGCAAGTCTGAGGGGGAAAGGAGTCCAGGAGAACTGGTTGTATTTTAAAAAAATCTTACTAGGGTTCAGAAGCAAATGATCACAATGCGTAGGAAGACTAGCAAGTATGGCAGAAGATCAGCATGGCTTAGCAGGGAACTCTTCAGTGAGCCAACACACAAAAAGGAAGCTTACAAGAAGTGAAAACTTCAACAAACGACTGGGGAAGAGTATGAGTATTGCTTGGGCATGCAGGGATGAAATCAGGAAGGCCAAAGTGCAGTTCAAGGTGTAGCTAGCAAGAGATGTGAAGGGTAACAAGTAGGAGTGTGTGAAATGGGCCATATTCGATTCGGATTCGGTCCAAATCAGGGATAGTGGTTCAGTTTGTTGGTTTGGATCACTGTCCCCTATCCAATTCGGCCAAATTTGGATCTGAAGATTTGATGTTGATTCAGAGAATCAGCGATTCAGCCATAGACACAGCTTTAAATGTGTTTTCTACATACTTTGAGGTATCAGTCATGGCTCATGAATGCTGTGATGCTGGGGCAGACGAAGTGTCCCACAGGACCGCGGAGGGGCCCTCCGCGTGCTCAGCAGCGAACCTGGAAGTACTTCTGAGCCACTTCCTGGTCTGCCAGGAAGCGCACCGGGGGGCTCTCACCCCCCCGGCTCAGCAATCAGCCATGGGGGGACCCTGGGTACCCCCTCAGACCCAGGAGGAACCAGTCACCGAGCCAGGGGGCCCCACAGCGCACTCCCCGGTGGACCCGGAAGTGGACCAGAAGTGCTTCTGGTCCACTTCTGGGTCTGCTGCTGAGTGCACTGGGGAGCCCCCCGAACTCCTGTGGGACATTTCATCCGCCCCACCATCACAGCATTCACAAGCTGCCTGGTACCTTGAGGTATGTGGAAAAACATTTAAAGCTGTGTCTATGTCCGTATCACTGAATCTTTCCAAATCTCTCCAGATCGATTCAGAGGGTTCCGATTCGATTCAGAGAGATTAAAGGGTTTCCTGATTTGATTCAGATTCAGAGATTCAGCCACTGAATCGGGCCGAATCTCTGCCAAATCGACTCAGGGACCGAAATCTTCATATAGCCCTAGTAACAAGAAGGGTTTCTACAACAAGGGTTTCAGCAGCAAGAGTAAGGTCAGGGAAAGTGTAGGTCCCTTATTGAATGAGGGAGGCAACCTAATGACAGATGATGTAGAAGAATCTAAAGTACTCCATATTTTTACTTCAGTCATCATAGGCATGGTCAGCTCCCAGAACACTGCACCTTGCAGCACCATTTGGGGAGGATATGAGCATCCAGAAGTGGCAAAAGAACAGATTTGGGACTATTTAGAAAAGCTAGACAAGTATGTCCAGATGTGCATGGATGTTTGGTTCCCCATGGACAAGTAGCAGGGGCACACCTTGCTCCACTGCTACTTGTCCCCGGGGAACACCCATGCCATGCACACTTTGGCATGCGGCAGGTTGCCCCAGGTCAGGCAGGGGAGGATGGAGCCAGCACTGGGCTGGCCCCAGCAGCCTTACCTGGGGTTCTGGGGGCCTCTTGGGACTGCAGCCACAGCAGAGTCTAGCCAGCAACCACAGCGCGGTTCCAAACAGCCCAGCTCCACTTTTCAGCAGTATGTACTAGCCAGGCATGCTTTGCACTGGGGGACGGGAGGGTTCTGTGGGTTTTGCTTTACCCCTGGATATCCAGGGGCCAAAAAGCTCATGGAAAGAAAACCTGGCACAGTGCACGCTTGGGCAGCATGCCCTTGTAGTGTGGAGAACACTGTACAACTGCACTCATCTGGATACACCCAACATGTACAAGCCCACGTGGCACTTCTGAATGCACCAAGGTGAAGCACTTCTGGATGTACCCAACATGTACAAGTTTGAACACAGTGTACCCAAGGATGCTGAGGGAATTGTTTGATGTGATTGCCGAGCCTTTGGCCATTATCTTTGAAAACTCGTGGCAACTGGGGGAGGTCCTGAATGATTGGAAAGGGCAAATATAGTGCCTATCTTTAGAAGAAGGAAAAAGAAGAATCCAGAGAACTACACTTCAGTCCCTGGAAAAATCATGGAGCAGGTCCTCAAGGAATTCATTTCTAAGCACTTAGAGGAGAAGGTGATTAAGAACTATCAGCATGGATTCACCAAGGGCAAGTCATGCCTGACCAACCTGATTGCCTTCTATGACAAGATGACTGGCTCTGAGGATATGAGGAGATCAGTGGATG